TTCTCCAGCCAGCGGAGCTCCGCTGGCTGGAGAATTCTGGGAGTTGAAGTCCACAAGTCTTAAAAGTTGCCAAGTTTGGGAGCCACTGTCCTAGGAATTTGCCTCTGTTACATCTGTGCATTTTTTTAAAAAGTGATTTTCTTTCCCGTGGGAAAAAAAAAGACCCTCTCGCTCAGCTATCCAACTTTCAGAGAGAACCGCTTTGATAATATAATTGCAGAGAAAAATGCAGCGGAATCCCCAGAAGAAAAAATCTGACTTTTCTTGGTTTGAAAGTATCAGCTTTGCCTTGTAGTTCTCCATTCACGTGCTCCAGTATTCAGAAGCGGTTGGCAGTGCGTCATATAGGAATAGGTGCCCACAAGCAGGCCTCGCGTGCAAGGACAGTTAAAAACACTTTTCTTAGAACGTAACTAACCGCGTGCCTCAGTTTGGTTGAAAACTTTGCACTGAAGGACTTGAAGGAAATGTGACTCGATTCGTGTTGTTAACGAAAACAGCACATCGTGCAGGATTGCCCAAAACCCTGGCCTAGAGGGGGACGAAGCTTTTCCTTGCTTAAAAAGAAAAAAAGAAAATAAAAACAAAAAGCAGACTTTCTCCACTGAAGGGAGAGTATTTTCATTGACTGTACTGTAGGATACCTGCCAGATATGGGGTTTAATTAATGAGAACCTAATGGAGCACTACAAGACTCTGAGCTGGCCTCCGATTAAGAGGACAGCTTTCTAATTTCTGTTGAAAACGATGCCTTCCACATTGTCACTCCCAGACACCCAGAGGAGACACTTTAGCAGGTGCGCTTCATTCTGGCCCTGAAACGGTCAGATTCCTTATGACGTATCTGCACCCTCTTATTAATGGGCTCTACCTGGGAGCAGGAATGAAAGAAGCCAGCAATTCAGAATGCTACCACTAATCCACACCTCTCTCCGTAAACTGAATTCTAACTGTTAATAGGAAACATTTTATGTCCCCCCAATGGCAGGTTAACATGTTTTCCAGTTATAACTTTCCGTTTGGAGCAAAAGGGACGCCTTTTGCCCATTTCGAGCCATTTCTTTTACTCCTAGTATTACAAAATGTGCACGGAACTTTATATAAATATCAAAAAGTTTTGTAAATATTTAATATTTACCTAATATGATTTTGAACTGTAAATGTCAAGTATTCTGGTATTGGGATTTTTATGTTTTATTATACTTTGTTAAAAGGTAAAATTGTACATTTTTAGAATGTTTTTATCCGAGTAAATTTAATGTACTGAAAAACAAATAAAAGACCGCAGTGTCTTTCCAGTTATCCTCGTTGATGGGGTTTTTCCCCCCCACCCTCACTCCCCGTGGGGCGAAAGATGATAACGCCTGGAGCTGGCTAATTGCTTTCAGCCACAGACTGGCAGAGGGCAGCTTCACAAGTGGGACTTGTAGGCAAATTGCACTGGACTTGGCTTTGCTTTCCCCAGGAGAAGGCAAGGCCAGGCTGCAGCCTGGGCTGTACGGTAATCCAGCGGGTGCCCCCAACCCTTTGGGCACCACAGACCACCAGACAGGGGGAAGAGGGTTTAACCTGCAGTCCACATGTGCAGTTTTGCTCACCGCCTGCTCATCTCCAGTTGTGTGGCACTGTCCCTGACAGGCCACGCACCTGTACCAATCCGTGGCCCAGGAAGTGGGACCCCTGCCGGAATCCTCTGGCCAGGCGTGTCCTTCCTTGCAGCCTTTGGGGGTCCACTTTTTTCTTGTTGCATTGGACTCATGACTCAGAAATCCCACCCAGCCCAGTTAGCAGCAACGGTGGCCCGAGATTTCAATTTTCAATTTAATAAAATTTGTATGCCGCCCACTCCCTTGGGACTCTGGGCGGCTTACAGGCAAGATAAAAGAAGCATTTAACAATTTAAGATAAAAGATACAATTATTAAAATTGCACATCATCCATTCAGTGTAGGTGGGGCTGGATATTGATCAGACCTGGAACAGCCAGGTCTTGGTGGCTTTACGGAAGGCCGGAAGAGTGGTGAGGGTCCAGATCTCTACGGGTAGTTCGTTCCGCAGGGCCGGTGTAGCTACAGAGAAGGCCCTCCCCTGGGGGGCAGCCAGCCAGCATTGTCCGATCGACGGCACCCGGAGGAGGCCCAACCTGTGCGATCTTATGGGTCTCTGGGAGGTAAATGGCAGGAGGCGGTCTCTCAGGTAGCCAGGTCCTAAACCATGTAGGGCTTTAAAAGTAACGACTAGCATCTTGAAGCGTGTCCGGAGACCAATAGGGAGCCAGTGCAGCTCGCGGAGGATGGGTGTAACATGGGGGTCTCTAGGTACACCTAATATCGCTCGCGCGGCTGCATTCTGGACCAACTGCAGTCTTCGAACACTCTTCAGGGGCAGCCCCATGTAGAGATTTGAGCAGCCCTGCTTCCAAGCAACCAGGCCAGAGGCAGCTGCGCCAATTTCCCGGTGCCGTGTTAAATAACATAACTGGGTTTCAATTTTGAAAAAGTCCACAGCCGCATTCATAACACAGGAACAACAGGGCCAGGTTTTGGATGGGCTTCTTCAAAACCACCTTGCAACCAATTGGGGTGCAGCACCCACGACAACTCTCTTTCCAAAGAAAGCAACAAGACGCAGCTGTCCCGTACTTGGAAGGGCCGTCTCTATGTAGAACCTAGGTTGCGCAGGAGGCATCGCATGTTTACAATGAGATCTCACGGGCTTTGAAACCAAAGCCTGAATAGGTGAATCCCAAGCTGGCTAGAAGGCCGAGTCTTTCAATGGACGGAGACTTTAGCAGGATTTCTTGATGGAAGGGAGCTCTCTGGAGCCCCATCCCACCTGCACCCCCACCAACCTTGCCATTTCTGAGGATTCCAAGCGGATCTCTCAGATGATTCCGCACAGGACTCCACAACAAAATGGAAATCCAGTTAACCTGCATCAGGTACGTAGTTGTAGCCATCGAATCCACACGCACTCTTGGGTCATTTTAGATACAGTCTAGACTTTAATAAAGTGAAATTTATGTTCAGTGTGAAATTAAAACTGAAGGAAACCAAGGTTATTTTCAGTGACGGATGCAACGCAGATTCAATCTTCTTTCTACCTGTCCCAGTTCAAGAACTCCGGGTAAAAAGATGAAGATACATAGATGTGCACAAAAAAGACACAATTGTAATGGCTAAAAAGCTCGCGCCTGATGGCTTGCATCTGTTACCACCATTTGAAGGATAAAAGGAAGCCCCCTTTGGGAGGGCCAGATGGGCGGATTCGGTTTTTTAAAAAAAAGATGCATGACAGAATACAAATATATTAGAGTAATGTTCTTAACTGTTAAATACATAGCCTAATTTTTTTAAAATACACACTTCCTAAACTAAAGCTATGCTTGGTATATAGTTATAGTTAGCAATCCGGTGCTTTGCTGATATTGACTGAAGCAGCAATACCAGGGAATTAACCCCTCTCTCTCTTCTTCACCCCCCCACGTGCACCGATTTTTCCAAACACCAAGAAACCGGAAGAGGCAAACTTTCCTACCTTTTGAGGAAAAGCAGTTTTTTAAGGAGCTGAAACATAAATTAAACAGGATAATATCACACAGATGTATTTCAGTTGGCTACTTTTTTTTTAACACTTAGCCCAGTTCCTATGATTTGGAGTAACGCCAACATATTTTTTTTAAATTATTATTACTATTGTCAACATGCAGGTTATGGAATCTTGCTCCAATTCCAGAGGCTTTTAAAAAGCAAGTATGCCTGTGCAAACGAATAGCGAGTCTACGAAGCCGGGCCGCTTGTCCGTACTGGCGCTCATCTCTTAAATATTTACAAACAAAAAAAAGGAAAAGGACATTTGAGAGCATCCCGCAAAGCACAACTACTCTGAGCAGATCAGTGGCGCGACATCCCTTTCTTTTTCCTGGGCGAAGGGGCAGGGGAGGGAGGGGAAAGGGCAGGGCAAGGGAGGGCAAAAACTAGGCTAGGCTACAAGGCCGAGGGGGCAAGGTGTTTACACGGAGGGCTTCATGCCAAACGTTTCCTGAGAGGCGTAGACCATGTACAAGAATCCGTCTTCGTCCTTTTCGCTTTCGTACACCTCCGAAATGGGCGTGGAGACGCTCACCATGCTGTGTCCGTTCACCAGTAAGAAGAACGCTTGGTTGGAATTCAGCTGCAGTCGCCGTCTGGAAGGGAAGAGGAGAAGTGGGCCTCGAACAGCGGCACCAGCAGCGCCCGGCTTGGCCTCGGGAACTCCCGAGAGGATGACCACCGCCTCCTCCGCTTTATCGCATCCAGAAATGACCACTTAACTAAGCTGCTCTTCCCAAGCATTTCTCA